TATATTGGCTTTATGGTTTATTTCCCTTACCTAATGTGGTAGTACACACTATTTAGATGATTGCATTAGTTTACCAACTAAAGAAAATGATAATTACATGATTGCTGATTTTGGCATTCGAATTTTGTCGAGTATTTTGCATTTTTAACGCATTACGTAGGGTGTGTTTGGTATAAAGGAAAATGTTTTTCATGGAAAATGTTTTCCAAGAAAATATTTTTTTGGAAAACAAGTAGTAATCTTATTCATTTTCTGGTGTTTGGTACGCAAATCAAGAAAAATATTTTCTCAAGATTATTCATAAATAATTTTGGTACAATAAACATGAAGCCATAAACTTTCGAACCAACAATCTTCCGAACCCACAAATTTCATAAACTTCTGAACCGCAAACTTTCGAAACCGCAAAATTTCGAACCCGTAAACTTTATAGTTTCTAAACCCGTAAACTTCGAAACACATAAACTTCCGAACTCATAACTTTGGAACTTGTAAAATTTTAAACTTGTAAACTGAAATATATAAAAAAAAAATATTTTTTCCTGGGGGGTGGGGGTTGGGGTGGGGAGGGGGGGTAAGCGGGGGGTTGGGGTGCAGAAAGAAAACAGAAATTTGAAAATTACAAAAAAAGTTTTAAAAAAAAAAACTTGTGCGGGAGTGGGGGCAGAAAAAAAACAGAAATTTGAAAATTACAAAAAACAAAAGTAAATTTTTTTTAGCGGGGTGGGGGTGGGTGGGTGGTGACGAAAAAAACCTTTTGAAGAGAGGGCATGGGTGGGGCTAGGTGGGTGGGTGTGGGGTGGGTTGGTGAGGGTAAAGAATAGGGTGGGCAAGCTTGAGAAGGAGTTTTGGAAAATGTTTTCCCTTCTCTTGATAGGGAAAATATTTTCCTCCAAGTGGAGGAAAATGAGTTGATGAGGAAAATATTTTCCAAAACATTTAAGCCAACCAAACATGAGAAAATTGGAAAACATTTTCCAGAAAATATTTTCCTTCATACCAAACACACCCTTAGTGTTACTCTCGTCCCATTTGATGTGGCACTTTCTCCTTTTTAGTCTGTTCCAGAAAATATATTAATGAGATTTCATTAAAGAATGTTAGTGAGATTTAGTCAAGTCACATTTCTATATGCTAATGAGATTTAATTACAGTCATACAAATGTCTATTTTTTATTCTATATCACAAATTTCAAAAGTATTTTTTTTTTAAATTCCGTACTCAATCAAATACCGTCACATAAAATATTTTTTTAGCATGATACGTTTGGACTAGGAATAGCGTGGAGCTTTCTCTAACACCTTTCCACATTTATAATACCATTATAGAATTACCACCAAAGGATGTGGTGTAGTGGATGTGACTGCTCTTTCCTTAACCAGAGGTCTCGAGTTCGAGCCCTGGGTATGGAAAAATCTTTGGTAGGGAACGCTTCCCCCCGAATGGGACCCTACGCGGGGCGAATAAATCCTCTTTGATCCCCGACCTTACTAATAGTAGTAAGTAATTTGTCCATCGTTGTACGAAAAAAATCTCTTTTTCAATAAATAAGCCCCGAAATATTCTAAAAAAAAGATATTGTAAGGAAGCTAAACAATTCAATCAACCCAGAAAAATTTATAACAATCAATAAAAATCAAGCTAAGTTACATCATTATGAAAATCAATGGTCAAAATTTAAGTTACTATCATACTCTAAAAACTTCACTTTCCCTGGAATAACTTGTCTGAATCGAAATGGTCTTGTCTCTGCTTCCTCAAACTCAACACAACAACAAGACCATAACAACTTAATCGAATCAATTTTCAAGAAATTCCTCAGAATTCTACGTCCATCAGGAAGGCGAATCGCAACTCTGCAGATTAAGTTCTTATCCCCTTTTGGTTCTTCAGGTAGAGGAGGATAATAAATCTTCATTACTTCTTCTTTGATTTCATTACTCTGTTGTATGACTTCATCTTCTTTAATTTCATCGCGAGGATTTTTCCTAGATCGGTTATTCAATAAATTAGCATGATATTCTGAGGGGCTAAGATCAATAAAAGATGTAATATCCTCTAGTAAATTTTCAGGCTGAACCATTCTATTCCAAAAATGCATTTTTTGACCTGTTATAGGATCAATTACTAATATAACAGGCAAAGAATTTAATTTATAGTACGTGCAAACTTTTTGGCCTTCTTCAGTATCATCATTTACTTGCCAGAAAATAAAATTCTTTTTTATAATCCGAGCAACATAATCGTTAGCCCAAGTATCTCTGTTTAGCATATGTGACGTGAATTCTTGCATGGATTGCATGTTCACTAACAGCCATTTGTTCTGTGTTTTTGCAGTATCAATCGCGCTGTTAAAACGCCCATTGTATATCAAAGCAAAGGATGGACGATACATAGAAGCAAGATTATCGTCTCGTTCCTCTACCCTCCAAACATCTCCAGGACGATTCAATATTTCATCGTCAAAGTTGTGTGACGAACCATTACTATTATATTGTAGTGTATTATTATGACCATAAGTAACTTCCCTTTGTACGCGTAAAGGCGGCCGTACATCATCATCATCATCATCGTCATCGTCATCATCTCCGATGTATTGTCCTGAGCTGTTGTCTGCAGCTCCATTTAAGCTAGGATTATTGACAAGTTCATTATTGTAGAAAAGTTGAATTGCTTCCTCAAGATTCCAGCTTGTTGTCTGAAGAAATTGACGAGCAGTATCGGCAGTTTGATCTATGGCGATTTCAAGGAAAGAAGAAACTAACATCTGTTGGTATGATTCCATGGTTTTCTTTTCGTTGTAAAAGAATAGGTAGTAACACTTGTATTTATAATTGTTTGAGACCCACTTTGATTGGAAATAGGAAAACTTAATTGATTTTGACTAGGAAAACTATTTTACACGAGAATTAAGAAACTAATGAAAACTATTTCCTACATAATTTAGGATTACTATTGAGTTAATTTTACCATGGTCATTGAACTTTTGTGTTTGTTACCCAAAAGTCATTTTTTTTGTTACGTAACAATCATTTAACTTTGTGTTCATTAATTAAACAAAAGTCACTTTTCTTTTTTGTTACACAAAAATCATTTTACTTTGCTCTAGTTATCACAAAAGTCATATTTTTACTTGAAAAGTCTATTATGCTCTTGATGTTATATAAACCTTCATATTTATGTAATACCTTTTATATTATATACTCCCTCTGTTTCATATTAAATGAGGTACTTTCCTTTTTAGTCTGTTCCAAAAATAAATGACACATTTCTAAATTTGGAAATAATTCAACTTTAAACTCTTCATTTTATCCTTTTTGCCCTTAATGAGAAGCTTTTATAGTCACACAAATGGCATGGCCCCACAAACCTTTTACCCCTTAAGCTTTTAAGACCACAACTTTCAAAAGTCTTCTTCTTTTTTCTTAAACTCCGTGCCGAGTCAAACTACCTCAAACAATATGAAACGGAGGGAGTACTATTTAATATATTTTTACCTATGTATTTTATTTATAAATAAAATAACTTAATATTATTTTATTTATTATTTTTATAATATATATTTTAGACAAGGTGAGTTACTTTGGTGGTAAGCACCCTCCACTTCCAATCAAGAGGTTGTGAGTTCGAGTCACCCCAAGAGCAAGGTGAGGAGTTCTTGGAGGGAAGGATGCCGGAGGTCTATTGGAAACAGCCTCTCTACCTCAGGTAGATGTAAGGTCTGCATACACACTACCCTCCCGAGACCCCATCAATGGGATTATACTGGGTTATTTTTGTTGTTGTATATTCGAATATTTAATATTTTCTTAACGTTAATTTTCAAGATATATTAGTAGCGTTATAAAATAACTTTTTTCAGCAATTCTTTTCTTGAATTTAATTGACCGGCCAACTTTGGTCGGTATGCCCTTCCGACCTTCAAAATACCGACCACACGTTATGGTCGCGTTTTGGACGGTTATTGGTCATTATCAACCAACTTTGATCGGGTTTTTTGGACGGTTTTTCCCAAATTTTTAGTAGTGTAATTTTCCAAATAACCAATTGCCGACCAGGTAAATCCCCAAGAAAATATCCCCAACTAAATTCGCATGTAGAGTTACCTAGGGATTTTCTCTTCAGATTAACATATGATTTTTTCCTCATTTTCTTTGTTTGTTTACCTATGAATTTTCTCACGAAAATGTACTTGCCGATTTATTTCTCTACTAATATATATTGAAGTTACTGAAAAATTTAATAACGCTACTAATATATCTTGAAAATTAACGTTGAGAAAAAAATTAAATATACGAATATATTATAAAATAATAAATAAAATAATATTAAGTTATTTTATTTATAAATAAAATACATAGGTAAAAATATATTATATAGTATATAATATAGAAGGTATTGCATAAATATGAAAGTTTATATAATATCAAGGGCATAATAGACTTTTCAAGTAAAAATATGACTTTTGTGATAACTAGAGCAAAGTAAAATGATTTTTGTGTAACAAAAGAAAGAAAAGTGACTTTTGTGTAATGAACACAAAGTAACAAAAAAAAAAAAGTAACTTTTGGGTAACAAACACAAAAGTTCAATGACCATTGATAAAATTAACTCGATTTACTATTAGTTGTAAAACTATAAAATTTATTTAGGAATAAATTAAAGAAACTAGTAACAACCAAATATTAGACGGTAGTATTTAACGTAGAATACTACTCCCTGTATTTCAATTTGTGTCTACGTTACTATTTCGGGAGTCTATGAGCAGGGGCGTAGGCAACGTGCCCTAAGCGCGTCATATATGACACCGCTTCGTCAATTTTGTTTACTACTTTTTTCGGTCCAAAATAAGTAATTTTTTTGCCTTTTTTTTGTGGTCCAAATAAGTGATTTTTCCAGATTTCAAGAATGAATTAATTATTTTTTTCCTACATTGTCCTTGGAGTAAATAGCGTTGGAGTATGTGTTAGGAGTGTTTATGTGAGATAGTAAAGGTTAATATGGTCAATTTCATTGCTAATTAATGCTAAAAGATGAATTTCTTAATCTGTGTGAAAACATCCAAAAAAATCACTTATTTTGGACCGGAGGGAGTAATATATATGTTAGATAATAGAAAAATAAAAATATTGAGTAAGAATATAAAAATGACACCGCTTAAGAATATAAAAATGACACTGCTTATTGTTATAATGATTTATTTATTTATTCACTTTTTTAAATGGTGACACCGCTTATAGAATTTCCTGCGTACGCCACTGTCTGCGAGGTTCATTTTTTACCACGGATTTCTAAATGTTTTATAAGTATTTTGAAATATTAATTATTATAACTTATAGTATTTTGTATGTTGTTTCCAAATATGTAAATTTTATTTCATAAAACTTAAAAAATCTATGTCTAATTTCATGGTAAATTAAGAACTTAGCTTTGACTCTAGAAGACTTGCAGCAAAATCCAATGAATCCTCACTACTCAAAAACCCTAGCCGTTTTGTTTTTTATGGAAAATTCATTCTTAAACACACATAATAATAATAATAATAATAATAATAATAATAATAATAATAATAATAATTACACAAATAGCCGGCTATATTCCTTGTTTATTTTTTCTAGCCATATACATAGTTTATACATAGATTATACACATAGAATTCATAAATTATGCATATATTATACCTCCACCGGCTATTTTTTAGTTTAAGCGGTTGGGTGGACAGCTATTTGAATTAATTTTTCAGTTATTAATGGACTTGTAAGCCATCTTACATCCATTAAGGGTAAACCCGAGTCAATAACATTTTCAACATAAACAATTTAGGATTACCATTCATGGTTTAATTTCTATAATTATTTATCTTTAATATGCCAAATACAATAATTTCGGCATACATGCACCAACTAAAAATCATACTGTAAAATATATTTGAAAAACACAATCCACAGTTCTATCTCTTTGGTATTGTAGTTACACAGGAGTCTTCTTAATCAGAAAATAGATTACAAATGCAGGATAATATTCCATCTACAAGAAGTTTGTAACATTCAATCTAACAAACCAGAAGTAAACAGTGTATGAAAATCAGTACAATTGATGAGAGGCTACATTAAAGAAGAAAAAATCAATAAATAACTTAATAATCTAAGTTCTGTCACCAAATAAAATGACTTTTTCTACTACAAAAATCTGTGCATATTAGTTACACAGGCTTCAGGTTACATTTCATGTTTACATAAAGAAGAAAAGAAGCTTTATCCCTGCCTTCAACTAACATAATTGTTCTGCAATTGCTTTGGCACTTTCATACCAAATCCATGCTTTACTCTTTCAACCCTATAAGAAAATCACAATAAGCAGAGAAACATCAGATTAGGTTAGTAGAAAATATCCATTAAAACTATACAATTCCTCAAAGATAATATACGAGCATATTTTCTATTCAAGAATAGTCAGAAGGTTTGAAACTTTTATTCAAATACATTATTAAATAGTCAAAAGGCCGTGGATACAGCCTCTTGCAGATATGCAGGGTAAGTTTGCGTACAATCAATGGCGTACACAGGACTTTTCCCAAGCGGTGTCACATTTAAATAATGAACACATAAACAAATCACTGAAATATTTATAACTAAAGAGCAATTTAAATGCATTGATGTAATTATCATTTTAATGTTCAAAATAGAAAGACAAAAAAATGAAAGAATATTTCAGAAAAAAGGCTAACAAAAGCTATCTTTATCACAAATAAGTAAAGAAGAACTTAGCAAGATATGTTTCAGGCTAGGGTAGTATATTGTAGAGGGGTGACCAATCCGGTCATTTTTAAATTGATTTGCTAAAAAAATAAATAGTTGAACTATCCAGCATGAAGGATCGAACATGCGACCTTCCTGGATAAAGGTCACAGTCTTAACCAATGCACTAGAGACTGCCTGTTTGTCCAGTGGTGACACCGCTTCACAAAATGTAAATCCGCCCCTGCTTACAATAGACCCTTGTGATCCGGCCCTTCCCCGGACCCCGTGCATAGCGAGAGCTTAGTGCACCGGGCTGCCCTTTTTACATTATTAAATTTTCAGTCTGTTCATCTACAATTCTAAAGGCAACAGCCATGATTGAGATTTAAGAGAAGTCGGATATTCAATACGAAAGATAGAACAGATAACTCTTTACACTTAATGGACCAACAGCCAGTCCCGAACCACAATCTATAAAAGAAATCTAATGATTATGCCAACTTATGGCTTTACAACTTGGGGTTACTTTAATCCACCTAAATGTAACAGCATTCTCCTATGTTGCATGCATATGTTCATACCCCTCAGCTTCAGAAATTTCATCATAAGCTTACTGCGAAAGCTACTTAGCATAAGCTTCCACGTGGACTACACACTCTGATTACAAAAGAATACGTAGAATATCTTCTTTTTTTTCATCAGTGATTAGGTAGAATACTGATGTAGGTTGCTTAAAATCTAAGCAAGAAGGCTAGGTTCTCGGGAAGATGGTCCATTTTAGCTTTTAACTCCAATACAGCAACTAAACTCTGAAAACTATATCCAACCGCAGGCTTGCATTCACTCGAGAAAGGGAGAGTTTCTCCCAAACAAGAATGGGGATACCAAAGTATCTGACAAATTGAACCCCACTAAGCCCTCTTTAACAGCTAAAACTTTATCTGACCTTTTGGCTAACTTTTTTTGGATAATAGGCCGTGATTAACTTCAATCTGATAGAAATCAGATGACCACAAGAATCATTAGCCACTAACAGTGGAAAAAT